CCCCCCCCCCCCCCCCCCCAATCGGGGGTCTCGCCGCGAGGCCGCGGCGCGTCGCAGGTAACCCGCGTGCCCACACGGCGCATGATGTTACGCATTATGAAAGCTATTACTAGCTCGGATTATTAGTCCTGCCTAATGATGATTCCGATGCGGGGTGATCTGTCAGACCCCCGCTGCATCACCGGCGCTCTCAAGACAGGAAGATAATTGCCCCCCCCCCTCCCCTTCTGCCCTGCATCGGAGGCTCCCTTGGGAATTGCCTCCCGCCAGCATTCGAATGCAAACGGTGCGGGTGCCAGGTGCCCACCGAACTTCTTTTCGGCCGAGAGGAGGAAAGGCGCACCACGTGCATACATGGAGGCGAAGATGTTGCCGTGCAAGATCTGCTCCTGCATTTTTGTTTTTTTTAGATATCGAGTGCGCAGGCGGTGGAACTGCACCAGGGCGGCTCGCATTTTGTTTACTTTTACTCACAATTATAATCCAAGTCCACTCTTGGTATCTTGTCATGTGACGCCCATGTAGATCTCTCACTGTGGCCAGTGCATTTTGTGTCCGTGACCAACTCCAGAAGATGGCATCACCGAACTCCTTCCAAAGTCACTTCACTAAAGTCTCTTCATACACGCGACCTGTCATTTGAAGCTCTGTCGTCCCGACAGGTCTGTTCCTTTCACCTGAAGAAGGCCACTTGTGTTGTGGCCGAGACGTCGTGAGAATGTTATTGTGTTATTTTATTAATTTATTATTTTATTCTCATTCTACGTGACTTTACCGAAAGAACCAAAGAAGCGGTTGTATGCTCCACAGAAATATGTTTACAATTTCGGAACGTCAGCCTCTTCTCAGAATAAATGCGTTTCATCACGAATCTGTTCAATCTGAACCTTAAACGTGTCGCGGTGTGAGGTTCTGTTCACATGGACGCAATGATATCACTTTGAAGACACTGCAATTAAAACACTTTTTTTAACACTATCCCGAATTTAAATCCTAAAGGTGATAAGCATATCAAGGTATATAACTACTGGTGTTAAGAGCGTACAGCGTGTTTACGGTCAAACAAGTGTGGGTGAATGTACATCACAGGCTGTTTACACAAAACAACAAATAAATACCCCCGTAGATATCTACCCAAGGTGTGTATTCTGGGCCCTCTTTGTCACATTTTTTAAAGGTTTGTTAATCATAAATTAAACTTAAAATCACAGGAACATTCGACTGACGTTCCTCCCTACAGGGATGTGTTGAAAAGTACATCAATGATGCGGCAGTGACATTAGTGTAACGAGGTGATTAAAAAAACAATTCTCGCGAATGAAGCTTCAAACACATGTCAGTTTCCGAAGAGACACACAGCTTTGTAGGTACGTACCGAAAGGATAGTTTGTTTTATACGAATATTGGATAGTTTTTTTTTAATTCAATGATGTGCATCAATCTGCCCAAGAACACTTCATGTTTGTAGGAATACTATACAATCCCTTAAAAACTAGTCACATGTATTACTGCATAGGCTACGAATAGTGTCCAAGCTTTTATATCTTGAGACAAAATTGACAATGAAATACTTTCAGAATGTACGTTTACGCTGCATACCAGCTCAGTTAGGACACGTGGGGTAGGTCGCGATTGCCCTGAACAGTATGAAGGCTCCCTCGTGGAACTGGCTTGTGTTGTTTGCGAGTGTTTCTGCTGCATTATTACATGAAATGTGGGCGGAGAGTGTGCAACGCAATATATCCAGCAACAACAAAAAAAACCTCCACCAGTCTGTGCTCAAAACGACCACAAAAATTGGCCACACCTCTGGGTCATCGTTTGGGACAACTTTTGGCCGAAAACATCCCCTCCCCCACCTCCCCAGGAAAGGCGGCTTTTCCTTTCAGTTACAGATGGGATTCGTGAAGTTCATCATCCGCATCGTCACGAATATTTGGAGGTCTACTTTGCTATAGAATCATATTACATCTCAGCTATTACTTGCTACTGACTCGGTACCGATCACTCTGCCCATGCGCTACTGTGTATTTAAAAAGTTAAGTCGTCTTATAGCAATATCAAACAAATATGTTGGTAGGTGGGGGGGGGGGGGGTGGGAAGGTTGGTATCCTGGGATGTCCATCTACGACACCGACTGTGGTTTTGACCCTGCCTCTAGCACAACCATGAAGTGGCCCGCTCTTTAATTACGGAGCGACATCGCAATAGCGAGAGAGAGATAGAGAGACAATGAGCGTGGCTACCGCGGCCACGCTTGACGCAGGCCGCCGAGACTCCGGTTTGTGCGCGGATGATGGAGCAGCCAGGGTGACATCTGCTACGCCGCAGCACCACGCTGGCTTTTATAAAATCCACGTCGGCTCGCATCACGCGTCATGGGGCGATCCGTAACGGAGGAGAGCAACTGCAGCACGTGGAGGCCCTGATGGTGTCTGTTGTCTGTGTGGGGTGGGGGGAAGGGGGGGAGCGGTGGTGCAGCGGTTAGCGCGCCGCGCTGCGAACCCGGCGACCCAAGTTTGAGTCCTGCTCACGGCCAACTCAGCTTCAAATGAGTACCTGCTAGGGTTGATCACTAGTAACACATTGCCCCAGCAGTCTCGCTGGCCTCGTACGGGAGATCTTCGCCTGTGTAGAGAGGAGGTGATGTGAGTTTAAGACAGAGTTCTTCGGATTGATTTTGTTTTCAGAGACAGGCGATTGTTGGGAGGTAATAACGCGTATTGCTTGCCCCTCCCAAACGCAGCAACTGTTCCACGTGTTTACAGCAACATTTAAAAAAGGGTTATATACGCGGATGATTTGTGTTCCGTTAATTAGGCTTTCATTTACACTAATGCCTTTTTAGAAGAAGCAAAAAAAAATGCATTAATTATGCCTATCAGGTTATTAATTTAGGGAACAAAAGTTCAAATAAACATGAATGTTCCGAAAATGATGACTTGTAAACCTGGCATTAAATGCCATTAATTAGCAAGTGTGCATCGAGAAAAACTTATAATTGCCTATGAAATTAAGCGCTGATCAGCTTCCCGATGCAAACATTAAACGTATAGATCGGGAAAACCAGTAAGTTCGAGGGCTGTGCTACACGTGGGCTCCCGCGATGACAAATGACTGCTTTCACTCCTGGCTTCCACAACAACAACAGCCATTCGCCACTAAGTGGCGGTGACGTCACTACAACGCTCGTGCCAGGCTACGTGCACGTTAAGGCCACGTGAATTGTCGAACTCCCGCTGGCAGGAGGTCACGGGACAGGACCCAGGTGCCATGGGTCGACTGACTGAGATGTGGCTTCCACAAAGACAAAGATTCCCCGTATGGCCTGAACAGACTGTTGGGGCAAGTGCTGTTAGCAAGCACCTATGAAGGCCGGCACAACACACGAGGGGGTGGGTGGCCAACACCCCGCCCGGCCGCCTTTGTCTCCCTAGTGGCAATGTTTACACATCGCACCAGGTATTAAGTTTAACTTGAGTCGACCTAGGGGAGGCCCAGGACCGGTTCAAATAATCGTCAACGGTGTTGGCCGTGAGCGGGTATTGAACCCGGGTGGCCAGGTTCGTAGCGCAGCGTAGCGCTAACCGCTGCACTGCCACTTACACGCACGCACGCGTACACACGCAAACGTAACGGCTACACACGCCACGAAATCCACACACACACATACCTACGCAGCTCTAATGCGTATGCTTTCGTGTCGTTCAGGAACTGAAGAAGCTGCCAACAAGGTGGAGTCAAACGTCGGACATAATGCCGAACAATCAGTCAGAAAACACATCGGAGCAATGTGAATTATCCGCGTGCACATTATGCCTGTGGGTGCCGTGTATGTGTGTGTTAGTGTGTGATTGTGGGGGGGGGTGGCGGTAGTGTGGCGGTTAGCGCTACGCTGCGCTACGAACCTGGCGACCCGGGTTCGATTCCCGCTCACGGCCAACACCCCGTGACGATTGTCTGAACCGGTCCTGGGCCTCCCCTAGGTCGAGTCAGCCTCAAATGAGTACCTGGTGCGGTGTGTGAACATCGCCACCGGGGAGACAAAGGCAGTCGGGCGTGGTGCTGACCACCCACCCCCTCGTGTACCGGTCCGGCCTTCGTAGGTAGCTCGCGAACAGCACTTGCCCCAAAAGTCTGTTACAGGCTACACGGGGGGACCTTCGTGTGTTCGTGTGTGATTGTCCACATACTAATTACTACACCATTCCACGCCAGCGTATTCATTTCGCCTTGTCTAAATTGACACTTGACACAGAGTGCGAGAACGGGTGGTTGTTTGCGCGAGACTGTGGTACGGGTTGGCGGTGGGGGGGGGGCATGCAGGATTCTTTGCCCTCGCTGTATTTTGGGTTCCGGATATTTTGTAATTCGTACACGGGTATCGAGTGAGGCTTGGCACGGTGCCCAACAAAAGCTGAACTCTGTAAGCTGCGCGAAGGCTTTGCGGCGTGTGCAGTATTCACTTACCGCCGCGTACCGATATGTATACGCCGCGGCTTTGTACACAGACTCTGTTGCCTTTGCTGGAAAGGCAACTTAGCAACAACAGGAAACACTTTAATCATACATTGTCGACGAATCTTGATACGTAACAAACAAAAAAAACTCGGCGGATTTATTCTCGCGATGAGTTTTTTTTAAAAAAAAAAGTGCAAACATGAAACACCACACCGCGGTCGTCATACACAATGCCGAATAATAAAACACCTATCATCAGGCTAAATATTGTCTACATTCTGTATCCGTCGGAACACGTGAGACGCTGTTGATGGCGATGGTTGTGCTGCGTGCGGGCTCCATCCTCAGCATCGTGTCGTCTTCATCAAAGCACGGGGCACGCGCCTCCACTGGCAATCAATGTCCTTGGCAGAGAAACTCCTTGCGTGAGTGGAGAGATACAGAGAGAGAGACAGACAGAGAGGTCGTGTCTCCTGCACCTGGGCGAGAACGGGCCCTTCATATCTGGGGGGGGGGGGGGGGGGGGGGGGGGTTAGAACTCGCCACGGCGGCGACAGAGAGTCCGACCTGATAGGTCGTGCCCCACCAGCTCGGTGCGGCTATTTGGGCCAATCGGCGGAGCATTGCAACGTCCGCTCGCGTTCCCGAAAGCCGAGTGGAAAGGGTAACGAGGCGAGGTGCCAAAGTGACCAGGGGATCACGGCTTCGGGAGGCGCGGTCTCTCCCTCCCCTCCGCCTCCACACACACTCACATAATCACGCACACACTCACATACTCTCACACACACTCACATACTCTCTCACACACACACTCACATACTCTCACACACACGCGCACACTTTCGCACACTCGTGGTGCCTCTCGCCTCCCGACTCTTGGCAGAGTCGCGTCGTGAACGCGGCCACGTTGCGCGGCGCCCACCGTTAAGAATGCAGCTGGCACAGGTCTGCTTTGCTCCCGCCTCCATCAAACTGGCGCCGGGCTTTCCCACTTTCGCAAATCGGTTACATCATCATCACCACCACCACCACCAACACCAGCAGCACAACAACAACCACCACCACCAGCAGCAGCAGCAACCAGCGTTTGATGTGGAATTGTCTTTGAGGGATGATCCACGCACGTTCCCAGGCGACGCGGAGCGGGCGGGCGCTCTTCACAAACTCACCCTCGGCATGAGCGGGCAGCCGGGGCTCTTCTCCTTGACGCCCTCCAAGGACAATCACCCCGAGGAGCCCCAGCAGCAGCAGCAGCAGCACCAGCAGCAGCAGCAGCAGCATCACCAGGGCAGGATCCCCCTCTACTTCGGGGAGCTGAGCTGCGAGGCGCGCCACGCATTCGAGGAGAGCGCCGACCGCTTCGCCACCCAGGCAGCAGCCGCCAGTGGCGGAGGCGTCATGTTCCCGTACGTGGGGCAGCAAGTGGCGGGCAGCCACCCGGCATTCCCCATGGGCAGCCCTGGCCGCTACGTGTCGGCGCAGTCCATGCTGTCTGGCGGCCCTTACGGCACCTTCCTGACACCCTCGGCCAGCGCGCAGCCCTTCCCTGGGTACTCGTACCCGCAGCAGTACCCGCACGGGTACCATCAGGGTGGATCCTTCTACCCACTGGGGCCGCCGCAGCCCGGGCTAGTGCCGGGCAAGGCGCACGTGTACCTGTGCAACCGCGCGCTCTGGCTCAAGTTTCACCGCTTTCAGACGGAGATGATTATCACGAAGCAGGGCAGGTGAGCGCACCGGTGGTTCATCCTGCGCGCACATGTGCACTGCATGCGCGTCCGCGTAATAACAGCGTGGACCAGTTAGACTATATACAGAAAAACACTCTTATTCCGCGTGCCTGCGTCTACGTGCTTTTGTTGTTACACTCTGGATCAGTAGATGTATATGTACGGCAAGGTTTACTCATTCTGTGCCCATGTGTAGACGTGTTTATTTCATACCACCGTGGATCATTAGACTTCTGCACGGCACAGGGTACTCGGTGTGTGTGTGTATATATATACGTCGTGTATTAACACCGCCGATTGCTGTATGCACGGCAGAGTGCTCACTCCGTGCACGCGTGTAAACGTGACGTGTCTGAAATAACACTCCCAATCATTCAAACAATTTACGCTTAAGAACGAATTTTCGTACGCGTACGTACGATATGTCTGTGTAATTGCACCATCAACCGTCAATCATTCCGGCGTGGCGCTCATTCAGTATGCTTATCGATGTATATATATGTAAAGTGAGCCTCCGTGATCACCAAAACAATAAGGACGTCTTCTTTGGAAAGTCAACATTCGTTGGAAAGTCAACGTGGAATGATTCTTCTTTCGTATGGATTAATAGCAGCAGATTAAACATGCAATTTTAGACGTGTTATCCACTCAATTGTCTGTTTAGACGCAGACTGGATCTCGTCCGTCAACGCCTTTAAAGTCGTGAAGGCAGCGGCGGCGGAGTGTTCACAATTTGGTGGTCGATGGTTTGGGATTCGTGGCCGTACTCGCGGGCCGCCGAATCTTCGATGCGCCATTGTGCACCGGGTGGACGCATCAGCCATGCCCGCTCCTGATTCGGTTGATGGTCGACCATTAGCCGCGTGGAAGGTTAAAACCGGGAGGTTCGACGGTAGGGTCCGGCATGAGACGTTTATTTTTTACGTCGGCCGCAGTCCATGGACTTGGCCACCGCCGTTGTAATGCGGAACTTCACCACGCTCAGGGCCTGCAGCGAAATATCTCGCTTGAATATCGTGAATATATATAGATAATCAGTGCGACACACTCACTCCGTGGGCTCGTGTTTGTATACATGTGTCTAATGTTTATATATATGTGTCGAATGAGACCATCAAACACTGTCAATCGTTCTAACTACAATACAACGAAGTGGCCATTGTATGTGCAATACATCATTGACAACAATATCGGTTGATCAAAGCTATATCTACAACCAGCTACGAGTCCGTATTGTTCACCCAGAATCTATATCTTTTTAAAAAAATGTATCTTCTTGCCATCGTTTACGTTCGTGTTGTTTCAATCGTCATTCGTTTTATCCCACCCCGCCGTGTTGTATTTACGTATTTTTGGTTGTCATTTTTATACTTCACGTGCAATAATCATACCCCCCCCCCGCGTCGCGCAGAGACACCTCGCGACTCAATTGTCTTGCAGACAGAGGTCCACCCACCCTCGCGACGATAATGATGAAGAACCACGACAAATATAGACATGTGGTGTTATCTTTAAGGGAATTAAACGACTACCAGTGATATTTAATATATATTTATGAACTATGCACGTTCCTATAAAAAGAACGATTTGAACGTATACGTGGTCTTAAAATAAGCGAGTTATCGGGCTTCGTGTCCGGTGTGTAAGCCATTGGCATCTGGCAGCACTTTTTTTGTTTACAATATCCACGTCTTTAGTTCGTTACTTGAATATATTTGTCGGGGGTGTCTAGGGCGGACGTGATGTTTCAATACAGGCGCGCAAGAAACGCGATGTGAATTAAAATATGAAACAATAGTGTGGTTGTTTCATCATTCAATAATGCAATTTAATTCCGATCCGAATTATTATCCCACATTTAAATATCAACAGGTTTTTTTGGAATCTTTATTGTTAATTTGGCGAAGTAAAAAAAAACACGCGCAAAAATCAATCTGTGGAAAGATTTAAATCAGCTTACATTTAACTCAATCTAAATAACCAATTTACCTGTTGTAGTAGTAATGATAATAGCAACCAGGGAAGAAACACACATCTCTCTCTCTGGACCCGAGAGAGGCCGCTGGTTGTGTTCCGTCAATGTCTTTGAATTAAAAAAAGACACCCAGCGCCCGTTATTCCCAGACACAGCGTATATGCACCCACCTTCGCAATTACAAGCGCAACTGTTGTCGCGTTATTCGTTTCATACGGGACACTGAGAGGAGGAGGAGGCGAGTACCCGATATGTTTATTTTTAACTGTCAGATTAACAGGGACACAAACACTGCCGTCGCTTTAGCGTCAGCTGTCTGTCCCGCATCCTGCTGCTGCTGCTGCTGTCCCTGCTGCTGCTCCGTGGGCCGACCGCGATCCGACAGCTGCGGGGCCCCGCCGACGGCGCGCGAGTCACCACCACCACCATCACCACCACCATCACCGCCACCGCCATCACCGCCACCACCACCACCATCACCGCCATCACCGCCACCGCTACCGCCACCACCACCACCACCGCTACCACCACCACCGCTACCACCACCGCCACCACCACCACCATCACCGCCACCGCTACCACCACCACCGCTACCACCACCGCCACCACCACTGCCATCGTCACCGCCACCACCACCACTACCACCACCACCGCCGCCACCTTCACCGCCACCACCACCGCCACCACTACCGCCACCGCCCTCACTCGCAGTCGTCTCCATTACATTTCGCCAATTATGTCACAATTGTGGTTTTAAAATATCGCGCAGGTGATGCGCGCGCGTATGTGTGTGTGTACACAATGCACTGTATATGGATATTCACACATCCCCCACAAATGAGGGAGAGGAAGGTGGTTTGGGCGGGGGGTATTAACGGTTCTTTTTGCTCTCGCAGATTGGATTATTTTTTTCAGGAACAGCCTTTTTTTTAAACATTATAATTATTATCGCAGCATGTGCTCTGTAAATGAATATTACTATGGATATTAGCCGCCGCCCTGAATCCCCCCACCCCCGCCATAGCAATGTGGAATTCTCAACGCCGATTTCAGGGCCACTACCAACAACGGAAGATGAATGAGCAACCGCACCCCTCGTTCGTTTGAGCACGAGGCACAACCGATTAAAACTTTTACTTGAAATGAATTCACACGCAACGCAAGAAAGCGTCAAGGTAATGGGTTTAATAGATACGCCACGTGGGTGCAGAGTGCAGTGCACGTGTGAGACGCTGCAACCGCCGACTCCCGCAGTGCGATCCTCGCTCAGGCCTTGTGCTCGAAACGTTTAACGGTGTCAGCCGCGTCTTGTGGCCGCGGGCCAATCAGCGTCTCCCACTGTGTCACACGCGGGGTGGGGGAAAGCGTGGGTGAACACAGCGGGATAGGACGAAGCACGGCTCACGCACCAGGTGGGACACAACGTCGACGTGGGTGACACCTATACGCCCAGCAGGTGCACTAACACGCGTTTCGCTGTCCAGCGATGTACCCGTGGCTTTCATTTATAAATGGCGATTGCTTCATACTTCGAAGGTTTTACAATTCTAATTTTTTTAAAAAAAATCTATTTTACCAGGTAAAGGTCACTAAGCTATATGGCTATTTTTGGTAATAAATGATAGCTCAACGAAGTGGCTTATCGCGTGGAAATGTATAGCAGCCAGATACTCGAAATGCGTGTTTCTAAATGTGGAAGGAGAAGCCTGAGCACCCGCAGAAAAATCCACGAGGAGAACGTGCACGCTCCAAATATGCAGCAGCAGGCGTCAGGATCGGGATCGAACCCACAACCTCCTGTACACCATGCGAGGCAGTTAACATATCGCCACCACGGCGATCGCTGTTCAGTGATTTACCCGTGGCTTTACATTTACAGATGCGATTGCTTTATGCTTCGAAGGCCTGAAAATCAACGTGTCCCTACGAATTATTTATTCAACATCATCACTGGCCATTATTCATCTGCTGCTGGATGAAGGCCATCAACACGATGCTGCCATCTCTTGTGGTCCAGTGTTGCTACCGTCGGATGTCACCTCGTGCGCTTAGGCGGATCTCATTGCTCCATCGTCCTCTTGGCGCGTTCTCCCCTTCAGCATGCGATTTTAAAATTGTCTGTATAATACGTCAAGTAATATTCTACGTTAAACGGCTGCTCTTTTCTCCACCATCCTTTAAAGTGGCGGCAATTTGCATTCGCAAAGATCTGCTCCAGCACTCGGCGTCTGCAGACGCACGTGCGCACGCACAGATGGAGATCCCGTTCATCCGAAGACTCCTAACTCAACTGCGTCTTCACCGATTTGTTTATTAATATACGAGCGCAATACATTAACTTAAATCGTGGTCGCATTCTACATTTCTCTGACGGGGTTATTTATATTTTCTCTCGGCGGGTACTGTACGTATATGCGAGTGGCTGTCGCAACATTTTATTTTTAAACGAGATGTTAAGCCTGCAAAACATGGAGCATTGTTTTTGCGATAATCTAAGTATATACAGCCTATCATGCAATACTGATAAATGTTAGCGCGCTCGAAAGTACGTCGCCCCAGTGAGGTCACTAGAGCCTTGTCGAACCGCGTTTGAAAGTCAACTTAAAGTGGTGATTTCCGAGTAACAAAGCGACGAACTCGCGTGGGATTATCCCACGGCGCACAGCCGAGGTGCCTATCGACAAGAGGCAACTGATCGTATCGCATTAATCAGTCATCGAGTACGGGCATTTCCCCAGCCTCTTTCATCGGATTGAGCACCGCCATAATTTTTTTTTACACAAGCACCGAACCACAACATTGAAGGGACATAAATCTAAAATCGAGCGCCTTTAGATTTTTCAGGTGTACGCTTGTTTGGGAAGTCGGGTTTTGAAAAAAGAAGTTTAAATGTTCGTTCTTTTTTTTTCTTTGGTGGTGATGGTGGTGCTGGGGCAACTTTAGACGTCACGTCTCGGTTATATCCGTGCCACATCAAAGTTGTTGTTTTTTAGAGCCCTTTCAGACCATTATTGTAAATTACGAAAAGTAATCATTCATTCTCGATCGTCTTTATATGCGTGCCTGTTCTTCTAATGTACATCCTCCCGACAGCTCAAGACCGACGATAGAGCCAATAAAAAAAAAACTTACTTCATCTTTGTCAATCCTTTACCAGCCTTGTGGCTTGAGCCATCTCTGTCTCTCTTGTGTTGGTCATCCTTTTGTGGATGAAGGCCGCCTCAAAGCCGCTGACACCTCTCACGATGACTGCGATGTCAAAGAGCCATCTATAGTTCTACTGCGCGTGCGTTGCGTAGCTCTCTGGCCTGACTTAAATTTCTCAGTTATTCTCCCACAGCACGTGGCACGGGCGAAGCGTCAGACATGAAGCCGGACAACACGTTTTATAACCCGATAACACATCGGAGATCCATCTACAAACCGCGTCTGTCTTCTGTATCTATTCGACAACACTAATCCACTTGTGTTTGTGTCGTCGTGTTATTCATCCCCGTCCGGGATCGCCTCTTACCCTGACGCAGGCGTATGTTCCCCTTCCTGAGCTTCACGGTGTCGGGACTCGACCCCACGGCACATTACAACGTGTTCGTGGACGTGGTCCTCTCCGACCCCAATCACTGGCGCTTTCAGGGCGGCAAGTGGGTGCCCTGCGGCAAGGCTGACACCAACGTGCAGGGTAAGACACCCACCCCTACCCCACGCCAGATGACACTCACACCATCAGCACCACCAGTAGCAGCAACAACAGCTTCATAAGCCTCGGGCGAGTTGCGTTCGATTGCGCTGGGGGTGCCGCAGCTCCACTTGGATGGGCAATTAACACCCTGAATAGGCACTGGGGGGGGGGGGGGGGGGGAGGCGGTCTGTGTCGGGACCTGTTTTACTCGGCACAAGCACTGAAGTGTCACATTATTTCAGCCGGGTCTGGGAGCCGGAAAATACTCCCTCGCCCCCCGGCACATCGCATTCAGTATACCTCGAGCAAGGACTGTGGCTGCTCGTCTATTTGCCACTCCAATCTACCAGCCACCCGGAAAATCATCTTCAGTGAGTAAAGACATATACATGCGTGTTGAAATGGCTAAGCATATGTGCCATGTGGTTATATGTATAATACGTTCACTAAGGGATGAGAAGCAATTGGACTTCTGCGTGCATTGGAACGGATGTATTAGCGCAAATAGCGTGTTCCTATGTTGGCTTCGTTTTAATGTTGGGTACATTGAGCATGTAAGGCCCACTAAGCTATATTGCTCTTTTTGCAGAAGCAACCTAACTACAAATGATGGCTCAGCGAAGTGGCTTATCACGTGGAATGTTCAGAGCAGCCAAATACTCTAAACCCCGGAGAAAAATTCACGCGACCACGGGGAAATAGACATGCAACCTCCAAATATATAGGCGTCAGGGTTGGGATCGAACCCACGACCACCTGTATACCAGGGCGAGGTAGTTAACATCTCGCCACCGTGGCGCCCTCCATACCTGGAGGTCTCTCACGTGACGTTCTATAAGTGGAGAATGAATGTTAGTATGTATACGTGTCTGTACACCAGGTATACATATAAACACACAGCAAACTCGTAATTTATAACAGAAAAACACGTTTCGAGAAATAACCCTTCGGAACAGAAGGATACAAGAATGTATTTTTGTAACTGCGTGTAAACGAGTTTTTAGCGTGTTCTTGCGCTTTGCTAGGGATTCACCTGTGACCAAAGCACCCTGAATGCGTCAATGCTTCATATATTTTTCAGAAGCTAATCAGTGTTGAGCCTTATTAGCACGTGGATGGGTTAACCAAGCAGGGCTTATCAGATCGATGTAGGAGTTAGACTATGGCCTGCACATGTCTCACAGGAGGTGGCAGTGTTGAGTATCCATCCACCATATTCTTGGTTCTTTCGGTAAAGTCACGTAGAAGGTAAACAATAAAATAATAAAAATATAAAACAATTTAAAACATTTTATATGTTATTGTTTCCCTTCTACGCGACTTACCGAAAGAACCAAGACTATGAATCCCTGCAGTCACGAAAGCTTTACATCAAAATTTATCCATCCACCTTCAATGGGTGGTGGGTTTTCTCCGGATACTTCGGCTCCCGCTCAAATGAAACCAAACATTAATGAATAATACGAATAATTAACACTTCATGCAATTGGACAACATTCCAATGTAGCAGGATCCGCCTTAAGTTATGCATATGTGGCTACGGCAAGTGTGTGATAATCAAGCGCAGGGAGCGTGGGTTCGATCAGACCCTGACGCGTCTATATTTGGAATTTGCATCTCTATTTCTCCGTGTTCGCGTGGAATTTGTCTCCGGGTCCTCCGGGTTTTCCCTCCACACTTAGAAACGGGCGTTTAGAGTATTTCGCTCCTATAACTGTCCCCATGATAAAGCCACTTCGCAGAGCTTTCATTTGTGACACTGCTGAAAAAGTGGGCCTTACCTGGTAAAAATACGCTTTTTAAAAAAAGTTTAGCTTAGTTTAACGTCGCAAACGCGGTACACGAATAGCATTTTTACCAGGCACATGCATTCGTCCATTTGCGCGCTGGGGTTGTCACGCTGAACGTCATTGCACAGTAGCGCTGCGGCTGTAGAACACGGCGGGCGTACCACGATGTTCTTCTTAGTCCACGCAAGACGGGAGACGAGAGGTGTGAGTCGGTGAAAATGTTCGCAAACACGTAAATGCGTTGCGAATGAACTCGAACTGAGGTCTATTAGCGTGGCCACCATGCACGTGTTACAATTAAAGATACATTTGTAGGTGTGCAGTTTTTGTGATATGCACAAACATTCATGATAACTCTCAGGGTAGGATTCGTGTTACTATAATTGGTATACAACACACACCATAGCAGAATGCAAAATGAAGCTAATCTTTTGGTGACACTTAGTTGCAGTGGTACCCCAGCACAGATAACAAAAGTCCTCAATACATTTTAAATGGCACTGCTTTAAAACAAGAACAATATTACAAACGACGTTTCAAGCAATGACCCTTCATCATAGCACGCTCATAAGACATGCTCCTCAAAGCACATGTTCTATTCAAAAGGGCCATTGCTTGAAAGCTCGCTCATTACATTTTTATTTTAAGACAGTGTTATTGACGAGTGAGTTGAGTAATTTTTTTGTTAGATTGTGAAATGCAATCGTTTAAGTAGAGTGGAGGGCGAGGCGGTCCACGCACTGCGCTTTGAACCCGGCGAGTTAAATTTCCGGGCATAGTTAACGTCAATAACGAGCTAGGCATGGGCTTCCCCAGTGTGGTGAAGTATGGTCAAACAACCTCCATGACTGACACGGCGTGGGGAAGACTTCATCCAGCAATGTTGGCAAAACTTGCCTTATATCCGTGTCTCATAAGATCCATTGGCCTCGTAGAAATAGAGACATAGCTTGCTTTGATAGACATATATAGCTGTTTATTGGATCGGCTCGGTTAAAACACAACAGGGCAAGTGATTTAGAGTAAGAGGTTTATCCATAGATTTTCACGTGTCTATGCGTATAGATGATTGTCGGTCGCTTTCCGCCTACCCTGCATATCTCTTTAAAAGTGAGTGGCTCTCGTTTTTATCGCGAGATATGTGACATATTTAATTGATTAAATCAATTATAGTTTTTTTTCTGTCGAAGACACACATCTAACAGAGATGGTTCAAGCAAGCCTGACTCTACCGATGAAACACTGACTGTGGAAAATCGGTCAAAGAATTTGCTTGCAATTTAACCAACGCTTGTGACAGTTTTCATTCCCAGAAGTATAGCGACTAATTTTACGTGTGGGATATGAATATGGGAGGAAGTGGTAATGGAGCGTTTAGTGCGTTGTGCTACGAACCCGTCTACCCGAGTTCGAGTCCCACTCACGGTCAACACCAGTGATGATTATCTGAACTGGTCCTGGGCCTCCCCTAGATCGACTCAGACTCAAATGACGTCTGAACATCGCCGCTAGGGAGACAAATACGGACGGACGTGTTGTTAGCCACCAACCCCCTCGTGCACCGTTCCGGCCTTCATAGGTGCTTGCTAACAGCACTTGCCCCAACTCGAAAAGTCTGTTAAGGCTATACGGGGGATCTTTTACGGGAGGAAGGCGTATTAGCTGCACACACACACACTTATAGTTGTGTACCTGGTCGGCGGGTGTCGTCTGCGCACAGTCCCTCGCCTCTTGACTCTCGGCGCGTCTCGTGGGCGCAGGTAACCGCACCTACGTGCACGCGGACTCGCCCAACTCGGGCGCTCATTGGATGCGACAGGAGATCTCCTTCGGCAAGCTGAAGCTCACCAACAACAAAGGCGGCACCAACAACACGGCGCAGGTGGCGCGCCCCCCCCCCCCCCCGGATAGCACAGTACCTAGGCGCACCTCTCCAAACAACACCGGGTGCAGAGCGCAGTGGGCTGGCAGTGGGTATCTCCCACTGCGCTATGAACCCCGATATTCTACGTTCGATTTCTCGGTCACTGCTAATCAACCCGCATCGATCAGCGTCATGCCGTATATGTGCAAAAACGGCTCCAATGTTGCGGGAGGAAGGCCTTTATCCAGCAATGGACTAATTGCTGGATTTGGGGCTGTACATTTAGGCAATGCTCTATTTCGGGCTTAGCCATGGGTCGTATCCAGTCTATCATCAATTTTGAGTAGACAATGGCTGTTCTACGGATAGTCTTACCCGCGCCCGTGGGAATGTGTAATGTCCTTAAATTGGCTCAGGAGCGCCCGCGGAGATGAGCACCTCCCCCACGCTGGTCTTCACAAGGACCCACTCCGGCTTGAACTGTATCCACTCGTTGATATCCACAGGCCATGATGAGACAATCCCAGTCGTGTGCGCTCCCTCCCCTTCCCATTGAGATTTCACGCTGTTCAGTGAAATTAAGCACCACCGTTGCACATGATGTTGCGAATCTGTTATCGTTCACTTCCACACGTGACGATCATATAGTCGACCGGCCATTCATTTTAACTGCTGTTTATCTGGACAATCTCTACGGCGTGCATGCCATTGCTTTGCAGCTCATTCATCATGCCTCGTTTACACTATTTAGGGCGCCAAGGTGGCGAGACGTTAAATACTCTCGCCTGGTATACAGGAGATCCTGGGTTCGATCCCAACCCTGACGCCTGTGTTTTTGGAGTTTGCATGTTCTCTCCGTGGTCGCATGAATTTTTCAACGGGTCCTCCGGTTTTCCCCTCCACATTTAGACACGTACTTTTAGAGTTATTTGGCTGCTAGAAATGTCCTTGCGATAAGCCACTTCGTTGAGCTATCATTTGTGGCCAGGTCGCTGCAGACAAAGAGCTATATAGCTCAGTAGGCCTTACCTGTTGAAAAAATAAAAAAAGTTTAACGTTTAAATAGTTTAGGTATCTGCGTTGCACGGACGCATTCGTCACCTCCTCGTCCGAGCCACGGCTATGGCGACGACTTAAATATAATATATAACACGAGCAACTTTGAATGGACATAAATGACGGTGAATAGTGGTTCCCTATATATAGAACAATAAAAAAAATATGATACCTTTTCACCCCTTTGTCAATCCACTGCTGGATGAAGGCCTCTCTCTATGTCGTGTTTGGCATATGAGTTGTTTGAATTGACTTCACAACGCTGGTCAGCGCGAATTTGTGAAGAGGAGCTCGTGAGCTTTTCCAGATAACACTCGCCACTGATGTTAGCCGTGGTCGGAAATTTAACAAGGGTCTCCGGTGTTCGTAGCGCAGTTCGCTGACTTACTGGGCCATGAATAATATAAAAGATATCCGAGTCGGAAATCGCGTTCCAACAGAGCGCACGCTCACAGACACTTCCTCGCCGTCGTAATTCTGAAGGACTGCTGTGTGTACACTCTGTTTTTATTTGAGAATGGACTTATTTCTAACTCAGATCTCCCTTAAAATAAATATAAACGTTTAGCTTCAATGGGCCCTCGTCTAGTTAGTTATATTAAGGACTGCATTTGACTTCGATTTTGCTTGTGCACACCCCCTGTGCACGTGTGTGTATATATTTATAATTCGTTTACAGACACTGTGCATGAACGATACTCGATGATGACCTTTCACTCTGAGTCAGTAAAGATAAAACAAACTGTACGAAATACATTTTGACAAAACTCCACTTTAAAGAAAGCCCACGGCTTGATGAAAGCCTGGGCAATGACAGTCATGGAGGTTGATTAAGCATACTTCGCCACGCTGGTACGTCCGGGATTATTACGTGACGTGAACCAGTTCACGCTCCACCGGTGTTGGCCGTGGCCCTGAATCAAACTCAGGTAGGGCTCCATTCACAGCGCAGTGGACTCAACTCGGCGCCCGCTGCTCCTTTGTGAATGACATTGCATACGGCGCATTTAAATCGAGCAATCGGTTGTATACACTGGTTCACGATTTGATCCGGCCCGTGGACCGCAGATGATCGTGCTGCAGTCGCTGCACAAGTACCAGCCGCGGCTGCACGTCGTGGAGGCGAGCGAGGAGGGCGTGGAGGAGGCCGTGGCACAAGCGGCGCGAGCCCAGACCTTCACCTTCCCCGAGACGCAGTTCATCGCAGTCACCGCCTACCAGAACACGGACGTGAGGACCCGCATCGCCTGACACAACGACACCGCAGCCCATCACCTCCCCCGCCCTCCCCCCCCCCCCCCAGCGTATTGCAAAGCAGACTTCTTTTTTTGGTATTAATCAAGAGCCCGGTACGGCGTTTTTAACAGGCTGCAGTCTCTGTTAGCGCGCGCCTATGATGGCCGGCGGGGTGGGTGTTCAACGCCAACACCCGGACGCTTTTGTCTCCCCGGTGGCGATGGTTACACATCGCACCAGGCACTCATTTGAGGATAAATCGACCGCGAGGAGGCCCAAGACCGGTTCAGATAATCGAGCTCGGCTCACCGGGTTCCGAGCGCAGAGCGTTAACCGCCACATCAGCAGTCGCCTGACCCATACTAACACACGCTAACCGCTGCGCCACCGCTCCACACATACACACGTAACAGAGGCAGTCGAAATATTCACTTGAGCACAGACAGATTACCCCACCTCTCCATTTCCGTAAATTACACTTTACATATTAGGAAGACCATGATGCAGTGTCCGTGTTTTAGAATGCTAATGCCGCGCTCCTGAATCTTCTGAACTCAAGTAGCGTCGTACATTGTACGATTCCTTTATGAGCATTTCGCCTCTGATCTCCCGGAACAAAAAGACGAACAGTTCTAGGGGTAAATAAGCGGCCTACTTGCTCTGCTACCGTCTACACGCACATCGTTTGCTCCATTCGCCCGGTTCATCAGCATGCAGCATTTATCGAACGGTCTGCACACACCTTAACACTTGCCTACAGCCCTTAAGCCGTACACATATTTTTGTTTGACACACAGCTGTTTGTTGCTGGCCCACTGGACGTTGTTGGGGCTTTTGGAGCAGGGCTCTGGAACTGTGTTAACACAAAGAAACCCCACAAATATCCCCCGGGTGGAAATGCAGGCTGACGGGTGTGATCGGAACCCCCCCCCCCCCCGTCCCGTCTTTGTCTCCTTTGTACAAAATATTTGGACACACGAAACGGGTAACTAATTTCACGACTATAGACTGAGTCGACCACGACACGCATGCACAATGCATACGCACACGCGACGCCGTAACTTTTACTTGCCAATGGGAATTTGAGGAACGGCAATGAATGCATGCGGTGGAGCGGTGGCGCAGTGGTTAGCCTACTAAACCGGCCAGCCTATGTTCGATTCCAGGCCACTTCTAACATCAGTGGCGATTGATGTCTGAACCGCTCCTGAGTACCACCCCCACTTGATCGGCCCGCACTAACCAGCGGACAGAAGTCAAACAACCCACATGACCTCCAGCACGTGGGGAGGTAGAGGCCTTCATCCTGAAGCGGATTGACAATGATCTGAAATAAAAAATACAATATGTGCTTCGTGTTCACTCTGCTGTCACCTGTACAGAAAACACCTCCACGAGGTACACGTCACATAAAAAAACACTGAACCTGCGCTGGCTTGCGGCACACATCCTCGCAATCCCAAGCACCTCTGATAAAGAGCGTCCAAGTCAATCGGCGCGGCTGCCAGCACAGTCGTACTCTGACAACTGTAATCATTAAACCCCCACTTAATAAAGTGCCAGTGAATTGCGCGTAAATTAACATGGGGTCCATCCTTCGCAGCCAAAACACAGAATCATTGGAAATTCGCGAAATCAATTACGAAGACTCATTCAGTCATCGTAGGGGGGCCAGTGCATAAGATAACTGCAGACTTAACAGCTATGACTGTGACACCGTGGTTAGTGGAGCGGTGCGCAGTGGTTAGCGCATTGTGCTCTGAATCCGGCGCCCCGAGTTCCATTACCGACTACAGCGAGCATCAGTGGCAAACAATACCTGCATATATTCCAGGCCGATCCTTTCACCAACCCCGCTTTGTACGTATGTACAGGTAGTCCCCGACTTACGATATTTTAGACTTACGATGGGGTCGTTGTAACGCACCTCCATCGTAAGTCGGGGACTACCTGTATATTGAACCTCTTTTGTACCGTACGTAGCCAGCCGCGCTAATCAGAGGTGCGGAGAAAGGACAACAAACTAAACACAAAAACCCATTTCTATAGAAATGAATTTTCTATTTTAAAAAGCATGGTGAAGTATGGGCATTAAAACCACCATGAATGGCACGTCATGGAGAGTCCTTCATCCATCAGGGAGTCGACAAGGCGTTGTATATTACATTCATTGCGCCTTTAGCTGTGGACCAGCGTCTAAAACAGACTTAACAGTCACGGCGGTGAAAGCACAGGCAAGGCCAGCATATTGGTCAGTGCTTACCCGGGCATTCTCGAATACACGCGCGGATGATCCTATTTAAGAGTTCCAAAGCCAGATTGTAATCCAGAATTCATAATTTTACAACGGTTGCTCAGCACATGCCTAATAAATATCCAAAACGTCCAGCTGCCACCATTAAATAGCACTTTTGCAGCTGCAATAAAATGATCACTTTGGGCAGATCTTTTGGCAAACACCTGCTAATCTCTCCACCACCATCACGTAAGGGACAAATCACACGGGCGGCGTGATTGGTAGCGGCCGTTTCTTCAATATATTAGGGTTGCCCCAGAAGTGGCAGGCGAGGAGTAGGTGTGATGGTTTTACTCCTAATGAGACAATGTTGGAGGGGTCTCGGTGGCTGGGAGGTTTAGAGAGTGTGTACAGAGATGCGCAGTCTTCCCCATCTGAAGTGTGGGCGACGGGTGGGAGGGGGTCCCCGTTATTCCCTGATGAGTGGAAGGGGTTTGGGGTAACCCCCTCATCTCTGAGACTCCCATCGGTTTGGAGTGTGTGATTCCTACACCCGGCTTTAAGGTCACGCCTTTGGCAGATACGAATGGCATTGTCACTATTGCACGCATATGAGCATCCGTCGCCTTACAGCAAGCTACATAACGTCCTCTTGCAACGAACGCGTCCGAGATCACTCCCAAAGAGGAGGTGGAGCGGTTCAATCAGCACGTGATCAGATGCTACGTGGATTATTACATCACAGAAGAGCGAGTGATGGCAACTTCTGTGGGAGGGGACTTCATCCTCGTCATTAATAACAGTCAAATCATGGATTCAGACACATTTCTCCAGCTAAATGAAAATAAGACCGAACTTCTCCTCGTCGCCTCTTACCAACAATGAAAAAAACTGGGACTTTTCAGGCTAATTATTGATGACCATAACGTCTACATGAAGCATGAGATTAGTAATCTTGGGGTAATATTCGATCTGTCCCTTTCCTTCGAAGCTCATGCTACTTAGGTTGTGAAAACCTCAGAAACATTGTTCGACTGCACAAGATCCTTATACCGGCTGATTCTCAGAGGCCAGTCCATGTGTAGTGGGTCCACCTGAGTCGCGGACGTTGTTCCTTTTAGAGGCAACATTTTTATTTGTAACACCGTAACACAAAGGGGTAACTGCCCCTATGCCAAACTACAGCGAGTTACTGCTACGAGGGGTCGATCCCTCACTTGAGTCTCCGACCACGTGGTTGCCTCGTAAGACGGGGAGCTTCAGCTTGAGACGTAGAGCTTCCCGCTTGTAGATGTTGAGATTCCAGCTTGTGGAATGCAGCGACCCCGGTCCCTCTCAGGGACCCGCCTTATATCCCTCTCCGGTCGGGGCCGCTCCGCCCTCGGCCCTGCCCGCCTTCCCGAACATTCTCGTTCCCTCTCAATCCTTCTCAAGAGCTCTCTCTCTGGACACGTGATCACCCCCGAGTCCCCCCACCTGGGGGCCCCTGTATGGGCATTCCGGATCACGTGTCTACGGGGTCAACCAGAGTGCCATGGCCCGGGGCAACCCTGCCCCTGGGCTGACACTCACCTCCTCCCCCTCGGGGGAGCCCCCACCACACGCTGTGCGTGGTGCCCGCACTATCCCAGTGCTCACCAAGCCCCGCTAGGGCTGGTGTCACACACAGCCACCCACACGGTGCTGTCCACGCTAGGGCTGGTGTTACACACAGCCACCCACACGGTGCTGTCCACGCTAGGGCTGGTGTTACACACAGCCACCCACACGGTGCTGTCCACGCTAGGGCTGGTGTTACACACAGCCACCCTCACGGTGCTGTCCACGCTAGGGCTGGTGTTACACACAGCCACCCACACGGTGCTGTCCACGCTAGGGCTGGTGTTACACACAGCCACCCACACGGTGCTGTCCACGCTAGGGCTGGTGTCACACACAGCCATCCACACGGTGCTGTCCACGCTAGGGCTGGTACTACACACAGCCACCCACACGGTGCTGTCCACGCTAGGGCTGGTGTTACACACAGCCACCCTCACGGTGCTGTCCACGCTAGGGCTGGTGTTACACACAGCCACCCACACGTTGCTGTCCACGCTAGGGCTGGTGTTACACACAGCCACCCTCACGGTGCTGTCCACGCTAGGGCTGGTGTTACACACAGCCACCCACACGGTGCTGTCCACGCTAGGGCTGGTGTTACACACAGCCACCCACACGGTGCTGTCCACGCTAGGGCTGGTGTTACACACAGCCACCCACACGGTGCTGTCCACGCTAGGGCTTGTGTTACACACAGCCACCCTCACGGTGCTGTCCACGCTAGGGCTGGTGCTACACACAGCCACCCTCACGGTGCTGTCCACAATGTAGGTACATCGAACGGCACGACCCTTCCGGGCTGGCACCATACAGTGACATCCCTGATGTCACTACACATGCACTTGTTCTCTCGCGAATCGATTACTGCAATGCCTTGCTGGTTGGCGTTTCAAATGAGGTCGTTGGTAGACTACAAATTATTCAGAAAGCGGCAGTTAGGGTGCTCACCCGAACCCCATTACGTGACCACATTTCCCCGGTTCCCTTATCATTGCACTGGCTACCGTTGTTGAAACGAGTAGAGTTTAAGAGCCTTCTACTTGTTTTTAAAGCCTAGCATGGGCTGGCACCACCACCATATATTAATAAGTTAATTGATCCGCGCACCCCCTCACGGACGTTAAGATCTGCAGACGCTGCCCTTCTGTGCGTACCGCAATCCCGGCTGGGTTCCAGGGATTTGCTGTGTCTGCGCCACGGTTGTGGAATTCTCTACCGGTGGAAATTCGTTTTTCCGATCATGTGGATACTTTTAAGTTTCGTCTTATAACTCATCAGTTTATTCTATTTAGCTTCTCTGTCTAGCTTGGCCTTTCATTATTCTTACAAGGCGCCTTGAGACATCATTGGAAGGCGCCTTACAAATAAAATGTAAATTATTATCCAGCAGTGGATTGATCACGGTTGATGATTATATGCACACTTCTGGTTGGACCCGATTTGCACCCAAACTCAGGCACGGTCGACAGACCTCAGAAGCTAAGCAAGAAGAGCCTGGCTAATGTTTGGATGTGCGACCACCATGTCTAACAGGTTGTTATAGGCTCTGTGGCTACTTTTCAGGGCAGAAAATAGGGCGGAAGTAAAGTGAAATAAATCCCACGACCCAGCCCACAACTGCGTGGAGAGACCTCTCATCCAGCAGTGGATTGACGCCGCTGTACATGTGCATGCATTAGTACATACACACACGCTGCATTCACACGGCAAGCAGCATTACCTTTTACATGACTTGCACTGAAACGTGGGATATAGGCAATATAAACATACACTGTGAAGGAAATGAACGCGCCCCATGCTCTCGTATTTACATGCACATATAATTAATTTAGTGTATAAGTCATAACGTTACCAACGCATGTGTGTGTGTGCGCGCGCAAACGCGTGTGTGTGTGTGTGTGTTTCTAGATCACACAGCTGAAGATAGATCATAACCCCTTTGCCAAAGGCTTCCGGGACAATTATGATTCGTAAGTGATTAACTTGCAGCACCTGCATCACTGCTGTTTTCCTTATGACTGCATTTGTGAAGGTCGTCACTTCCACGGGAGCTAAATTAAGATACGCTCGTACTAATTACGCCCCTTATTGTCCAATGTGTGGGTTGTTTGCCCGGCGCTCCCTCGTATGTATAAACACTCTGATTGGTTGAGCATATCTTAATACATATAGGACGGCAGAGCTTGGAAGAGTGGTGGGCCCGGCTGACGGCCTGGTTGCTGGCTTCTCGCTTGTCTGTGGTTCTTCGTGCCTCCACGTCATTGTTCACCTTCGAGTGAGCGAATATTGTGTAGCACGTTTTCGCACAACCGATTAGCATGGTGTGCTACGTACGGTGGGAAAGAAGTTCAACATACATACAGTGAGGGAAAAAAAGTATTTGATCCCCTGCTGATTTTGTACGTTTGCCCACTGACAAAGAAATTATCAGTCTATAATTTTAATGGTAGGTTTATTTGAACAGTGAGAGACAGAATAACAGCAAAAAAATCCAGAAAAACGCATGTCAAAAATGTTATAAATTGATTTGCATTTTAATGAGGGAAATAAGTATTTGACCCCTTCTGCAAAACATGACTTAGTACTTGGTGGCAAAAACCCTTGTTGGCAATCACAGAGGTCAGACGTTTCTTGTAGTTGGCTACCAGGTTTGCACACATCTCAGGAGGGATTTTGTCCCACTCCTCTTTGCAGATCTTCTCCAAGTCATTAAGGTTTCGAGGCTGACATTTGGCAACTCGAACCTTCAGCTCCCTCCACAGATTTTCTATGGGATTAAGGTCTGGAGACTGGCTAGGCCACTCCAGGACCTTAATGTGCTTCTTCTTGAGCCACTCCTTTGTTGCCTTGGCCGTGTGTTTTGGGTCATTGTCATGCTGGAATTCCCATCCACGACCCATTTTCAATGCCCTGGCTGAGGGAAGGCGGTTCTCACCCAAGATTTGATGGTACATGGCCCCATCCATTGCCCTTTGATGTGGTGAAGTTGTCCTGTCTCCTTAGCAGAAAAACACCCCCAAAGCATAATGTTTCCACCTCCATTTTGACAGTGGGGATGGTGTTCTTGGGGTCATAGGCAGCATTCCTCCTCCTCCAAACACGGCGAGTTGAGTTGATGCCAAAGAGCTCCATTTTGGTCTCATCTGACCACCACACTTTCACCCAGTTGTCCTCTGAATCATTCAGATGTTCATTGGCAAACTGCAGACGGGCATGTATATGTGCTTTCTTGAGCAGGGGGACCTTGCGGGTGCTGCAGGATTTCAGTCCTTCACGGTGTAGTGTGTTACCAATTGTTTTATTGGTGGTTATGGTCCCAGTTGCCTTGAGATCATTGATAAGATCCTCCCGTGTAGTTCTGGGCTGATTCTTCACCGTTCTCATGATCATTGCAACTCCACGAGGTGAGATCTTGCATGGAGCCCCAGGCCGAGGGAGATTGACAGTTCTTTTGTGTTTCTTCCATTTGCGAATAATCGCACCAACTGTTGTCACATTCTCATCAAGCTGCTTGGCAATGGTCTTGTAGCCCATTACAGCCTTGTGTAGGTTTACAATCTTGTCCCTGACATCCTTGGAGAGCTCTTTGGTCTTGGCCATGGTGGAGAGTTTGGAATCTGATTGATTGATTGCTTCTGTGGACAGGTGTCTTTTATATAGGTAACGAGCTGAGATTAGGAGCACACTCTTAAAGGGAGTGCTCCTAATCTCAGCATGTTACCTGTATAAAAGACACCTGGGAGCCAGAAATCTTTCTGATTGAGATGGGGTCAAATTCATATTTCCCTCATTAAAATGCAAATCAATTTATAACATTTTTGACATGCGTTTTTTCTGGATTTTGTTTTTGTTATTCTGTCTCTCACTGTTCAAATAAACCTACCATTAAAATTATAGACTGATCATTTCTTCGTCAGTGGGCAAACGTACAAAATCAGCAGGGGATCAAATACTTTTTTTCCCTCACTGTAAATAGAATTTTAAATTATTATAATCTATGATCGCGTTTATTAGCGTGTATCATCCATCATTTTATAAGTAGAATTAGCATAATGTATATGATATTATTTTGCAATGACAAAAAATCAAAATATAACTTTTTAAACTACCGCTCATATAAACATGTGTATTAAAATCAGCATAGCATAAGTACATAAATGTATAGTTTTTAAATATAATACACAGCATTCTAAGATATACCTATATTATATAAGCTTCCCATATTTATAATCGCTTTTTTTTTCTGAAATAGCCTGCACCAACATTTTTTCATTTTAAATTTAGAAATCTTGGCTCATATTTCAGCGGTGAGTATTTTTAGAATTTATTTTTAAACAATAATCTCTCTATCATTTATTAGTCTCGATGTTAACTTGCTTCATATGGCAGCTAACGTAGCAAAACTCTAGTCGTAATTTTGTATGTATTCTATAACCCCACTCATTCCATTGTTTTATCACATAATTCACCATGGTATGTACAGTACGTATGTTGAATTTCTTTCGCACAATACATAGCCAACCGTGCTAATCGGAGGCGCGGGGGAAGGACAACAAACTGAACACAAAAAGCAGTTCTAAAGAAATGAGTCTTCAATCTAGATTTAAAAGTGCATAGCTCCAATGGCTTACGAATATGGGAAAGAAGAGCGTTCCAGACGGCTGCAGAAAATTGAGAGAAATTGGAACCGCTACGTTCATGCAACCTCTGGGGTACGAACAAGTGAGATATCTGGACTGGGCTCATGGTCTGAAGTTAATTTTTTTTTAGTTTGAGCCGCAACACCAACTCCAAGCCCGTGTTGTTTGACACAATAGTTTAGTTACCTTCTGGTGACATTTGTGCAGTCCTAATCTAAAATTATGTTATAAGTTACTAATTAGTATAGTTATGGGGGTGTGAAAACTATATACCTTATCCGCGACTGTATAGCTAACCCGCACCTCTGGTTAGCACAGTATACGTTTCAATTACGTTCGAAGGCGTAAAGTCTGCATGTACATCATCTCAAGTTCGTACACGTTTAAACCAATTTATATACGGCGGTATGAAGTTCATATGGTCCTCAACTTTGCTTTAACCTAATTCCTAACCAGAATCTCGTTATTTAGGTGTTTTTTTTTTCTAATAATCTAATTTAGATACCTGAGTGTTATGTCCGCATATTATTTACCCAGTCTGAACCCCATGCAACTTTTCTGAAACCAAACTGTGCCCTCTGCTGTCAACGTATCCCCGCAGCCTATTAACACATGTTATGCAGGGTGGTATCCCATCCAAATACTATCCATTTTACCTTCCAAGATCAGGTGGATTCCGCGTGATTTGATCATGCCCAGCTGTCGCCATCAGAATAGCCCTGACCCTACTAACTCAAACTCCGACCCTTGGCCGCGTGCAGCATCTACCCGGGCGTGGACCTGGACCGCCTCACCCCGTCGCCACACGACCCCTTGCGCCCGCACTCGCTGTTCGGGCCGCGTTACGACAGCGGCTCCCTCCTCTCCGAGCGATTCGGCTCCCCGTCCTACGGCTCCAAGTTGGCCGCAGCCTTCAACGACAGTGAACGCGCCGAGCGCTGGCTCATGGGACCACTGCCGCAGTCTCCCTTTGAGCCCGACATGGGGGCCCTCGGCGGCGCCGTGGGCGGCGGAGGCAGCGGCGCGGGAGGCGGCGGTGGAGCCGGCTCCCTCCTACCCTATGGCCTCAAACCGATCGCGCTGCCGCCCAGCCCCTCGTGCTCGCTGAGCTATTACGCGGCCGCGGAGCACGGCGCCTTGGGCGCGGCCAGCGACTGGAGCAAGTCCTGGGGGCGAATGCCACACCACCTCCAGCAACAGTATCATCAACCTCATCATCCACATCAGCAGCAGCAGCAGCAGCCTTCGACTGCTGGATTTTCCGCGGGCGCATGCAGTAGCAGCACATCCATGTTCCAGGAGCTGCAGCAGATCGGTGGGGTGGTGGGGGTCCCCGTGCCCGAGGAGGTGCGGCCAGACAAGCTGCTGGAGAGCCCCCCCTCCAGCAAATCCGCCGAGTCCGGCGACTCCGGGGTGTTCGAGAGCGGCGGTGCCGGCGCAGCGGCGGTGGTGGCGGCGACGGCGGAGGACGTGTCCGCCAAGAAGCGGCGTCTCTCGACCGAGGTCGAAGAGGGCAGCTTCGGGCAGCACAAGCGGGACACCGACCCCCCTGTCCTTGCTCCTCCCTCCGCTGCTACATTGTCGGGTGGCGGTAGAGAATTCGCCAAAAGCTGCCTCAAGGAAAATCCAGCCCCATGCTTTGGCGAATACTACGAGCCGGAGTAGTGGCGGGAGGCAGTCGCCTCGGATTATGGTGAGGCCCTCTGGTCTCAGGAGCAGTGCAAGTGATTTTACGACGATGAACTGATGATGGTGGTGTTGTTGCTGTTGTTGATTTGTTACATTTTTGTAAGATATAATTCATTTGTTTTGGAGAAAAAGACACCCGTTCTCTTCGGCTGTGTGCGAGTAACGTGCCAGAGCAGTGTTACCCAAGTCAATCAACATCAACGAAATGCACTCTTTTTTGTTGTTGTTATTTTGGCACGTGATGGCGTGTTCAATAATTGTGCTTGTTTTGTGAACACTCACACGTGGCCAATATTAGCACCGCCGTCACGCGTGCTCTTGCTGATCAATTGTAGCGTTACTTTTACAACCGAATGAAAGAGAGTATGTACATGCGTAAAAGGGAATCCTTTTGTATTGTTCCTTCATATTGACGTCAATTAACACGTGTAAGGGCCAGTTACGAGTTCCATAATATTCATGAAGTGACATGTTCCCTCATCTCAAATGTATTTACTTTCAAAACTAAGGGAAAATATCGCTGAAGGTATTTCTGCAACTCACCACAGATTCACATTTTAACGAAAGGGCCGAAACACTTCACTCGTGATCACCTAAAAGTCACGGGAGTTGCGCGTTTATAAATGCCCGGGGCGATTTGCTCCAATTGACTGGCGGTGGTAACGGAAACATTTGTGCGTTTTCGCGAAATGAAATCAGAGACACAAAATGAACAGACGCCGACAATGTCACGAATTGAGCTTGAAACGTTCGCCTGAGTTGAAAACTCGTCTCTCAGTTATCATCGCGTTGCAGAGGTGCGCACGCTCGGAGTGCCGAAGGTAAAAAGTGCAGTATTCGCCATTCCAGTCACACAGGAATGGCCGGTAGGCAGACACAAGTTCATCGTTGCTTTTCTCGAGTTCCGAGCGAGCACTAGTTTTGTATATAGCGTGTAGCTACTTTGTAATATGTATAGGTTTATGTCAGTGTAATAGCATATGCACTGTGCGTGTATGTAGGATGATCAAATAGTAACGAGATGTTGTACGTATATTTAAAGTATGCGCATACTCACACGTATTACATTATTTATTCAGTATCACCATCATCCTCGGCCATGGTAAACCCAGTGCTAGGGGAAATCATCCCAAAGCCGTCACCACCTCGCACGATCCGGCTATGTGACCATCCATCCAGCAACATATGCATCCAACTGAGACCATCGCCAAACTTCCTCAGTGGTCCTCATTATCTTCAAACGCGAGGAATTCAACTGAAGCGAGGCTTCGCAAAAAGGCCTGCCGCATTTTGGGTGGTGGTTACTTTTTGTAAGTACGTACGGTATATAATTCCCAGCATACGCCATCTTTCTTGGCATGGAGAGAGGACACACGTGTACCTCTGTGCGCTGCGTCTCTTGTGTGCGCGCGATTACTAACGAGTGGAATTTGTTATCCCGACCTAACCACGGTCTCCCATAGGTCGATTCAATCTAAATTTAGTAACTGGTGCGTTTCATGAAAAACCAGCATTGGGAAGGCAAACGCGGCCGGGCATGTGTGTGTGTGATTCTGGCCATATCACCCCACCTCGTTAATCGTACTGGCCTCAAGTCATCATCATCACCATCATCGTCGACCATCATCAGCCATGATCCAATCCACGGATGAAGGCCTTCCCAAGCCATCGTCACCTCTCACGGTCCTTTGATGTTCTCAACAGATGCTCGCTAACAGTGCTTACCTCCACTGGAGTCTGCAAGGCTATAGAGCGTTTGCCTTCAAATGTGTATATGTGTACATTTCACACGCATACATACATACAGACACACAGTGGTATGGCTTGTATTGGACATGGTGAGATTTGCCGGTACTGCACACCCGTTCCAAGGCATCCAATGCGCGGTCTGGCTGTTGCGTGTTGCAGCGACGTGTCTACTGCCTGATGCTCAACGACTTCCCGTGTCACCACTCCTGCACGTGTCCATTCATCTCACCACCGCACACTCACATTTCACGCCAGGCTTTCCAGATCTTTCCGTGGCTAAAAATATCGTTCTGAGCTCTTTTATTTATTTCATCGGAATAACTGTTGGTAAGTGTTGAAAATTGTTTTAATGTGTAAACAAAACAAACAAACAAAAAAACATGCTGTACCCCAATTTATTATGCTGCGTTTAAAATGTCACGGTTTTAATCGTCAGAATATTTCCCAAAAAGCGCCAATGTAGCGTGAGCGACAGGTGAAGTTATGCCCGTATTTATTTCAATATATTTAAACACCTCTACACGTGTTTGCACTTTATTTGCACCTTGGATTATATATTGCAAATAAAATGTCTAAATTAAGACTTGTATAATATGTCAGTAACGGAAAGCGGCGTTTCGCGGGTGAGACGCGGGCAACTCGAGGTCCGTGCCGTCTACAATCGCTGAGGCCCGGACATTGTTCATAAATCAGGGGGGCCGGGTTATTTTTAAACTCGAAGCGTCTGTAATGGCACCGATATACGAAAACGCAGGCGGGGCGTCTGAAAGGCGAGCTTATTTTCCGGAATGACAAATGTCGTTTAATATCAGCGATAAATTTAGCGGAAATACATTCTGCCGAATAATTAGACGAAAAAAAATTGGCATACGCGTATCACCGGTCGCGTGATTGTACGTACGAATCTAATGAGTTCCCTACCATTACCTTCCTTGTGATGCACACGCGTGTGTGTTTGTGTGAACCACGGACAACACAACCAAGTTACCGTGTTCCCACAAAACCCGAAGACGTGTTTAGAACATGTATATACGTAGTCGTGTTTACGTTAGCGCTGCGTAATTACGCGACGCGCCGTGCCCCGAGCGTTGCCTCTGCTCCGCTGAGCGCGGTAACACGGCTTGACCGTAAGACTCCCGCGACGCACAGGGAGAGCCGGGAGAACCCGGGGCAAGGTTTGTGAAGGTTGCCCCCGTCTCGCGTAGAGGAGGAGCTGGAGCGAGGGCACGGCTCAGGAATTCGCGTCCCGGTTTAAAGTAACCGAGCGAGCGAGGGAGTCGCGTGGGTGGTGTCGCGCGCTCGCACCGGGCGCAGGAATTTCCTCTCTCGCCCGGGCGCGCGCGACATCGAAGCGACTCCTCCGCGCGTGTGCGCCGGGCTCAGCTCAATCCGCACGCAGCCCCCGCGTAAGGGCAGACACGGGATAGACACACACACACATACACACAGACATACGGACACACACGCACACATATACACATACACATGAACGCGCGGATACGTGCATGCAAACGGACAAAACGGGGATACACACACACACGTGCTCAGACATATACAAAGACAAAGACCCCCTGTATAACCTGAACAGACTGTTGGGGAAAGTGCTGTTAGCGAGCACCTATGAAGGCTGGCAGGGCACACGAGGGGGTGGGTGGCCAGCACCACGCCCGGCCGCCTTTGTCTCCCTAGTGGCAATGTTTGACACACCGCACCAGGTACTCATTTGGGGCTGAGTCGACCTTTGGAGAGGCCCAGGAACTGTTCAAATAATTGTCACTGGTAGTGGCCATGAGAGGGAATCCAACTAGGGTGGCCGGGTTCGTAGCGCAGCGCGCTAACCACTACACTACCACTCCCTACAGATGTACGGACACATACACACAGACGCACGAATACACAGGGATGCACATGGATAAAACACGGATAGGCACACGCAGACTCACAGACAGAAAAAAACCATGCCCGTATAGCCTTAACAGACTTTTGGGGCACCTATGAAGGCCGGAACGGCACACGAGGGGGTGGGTGGCCAGCACCACACCCGTCCACCTTTGTCTCCCTAGGGGCGATATTTGCACATCGCACCAGGTATTAATTTGAGACTGAGTCGACCTAGGGGAGGCCCAGGCCCGGTTGAGATAATCGGTCACTGGAATTGGCCGTGAGCGGGAATCGAACTCCGGGTTCGTAGCGCAGCGCACTAACCGCTGCCCCACCGCTCCCCACAGATGTACGGGCACACACACGCGCACACGTAGGCACACACATGAGAAGCACATAATACAGCCACGCACAGATCCTCACACACACACACACAAAACAAACAGATGCACACACACACGCAAAATAACACGGAGAAACACAAACGGACACGCAGACACAAACACACCTGCTCTCACACCGTGACACAGGTGATAAAGAGAATCGACCGCCCCCCCCACCCCCGTCATCATCCCCGCCATCTCATGCATGTAAAGCATCTGCTCATCGGGCTTAGCTTTGACAGACAGAGAGCTCGCTGCTAGAGTATCCGTACAGCTTCCCCCCCATCCATGAATCACGCCAGCCAGCAACACTCGTCTCGGCTCCCGGGTTATCCCTGTGTCTGTGTGCACATGGGCCGCACGCACGCGCGCTGCTCTGCTCTCAGCGATTCGTGCCAAGGGGACGTATCGGCTGCTCGGCTGGAAATCGCTTGTGAATGAACCCAAGGAAGAGGAAACCCGTCTTTCCGCTTCGCAGAAATCCTCCACCGCTTTACGAAACGGCACACCGCCCTCCGTCCAGCTGTCCGACTGTAAATCATCCCCGTGTTGGAGAGCGCATGACAATGTTACTCCAAACAAAAATAGTAGAAAAATATATGTTCCCGGCGAGTTTCGAACTCTCGACTCCTACGTTGGTATTATATTTTTTTTCTTCTTCACAAAACCTGTTCGCAAACCACTCGTCCAATAAGGCTTCCATACAAAATATTAATTGCTTTAAACGAGCCAATTAATTTACTGATGACTATTTTGATACAGGCATGCACTGTCTCCGGATCTGAGTACGTGTGCACAATTTGGGATCGATTGGACAATGGGAAGTGGACGAAATTTTTATTACAAGATATGACCACGACAGACAAACAGAGGAATCAACTTAAATCAAAATAAACCGTTGAAAAAGGCAAAGATCCCCCGTATAGCCTTGGCAGACTTTTGGAGCAAGTGCTGATAGCGGCCACCTATGGTGGCCGGCACGGCACGCGAGCAGGTGGGTGGCCAGCACCACGCCCGTCCGCCTTTGTCTCCCAAGTGGCGAACTTTACACACAGCACCGGGTACTCATTTGAAGCTGAGGCCCAGGACCGATTCAGTCACCGTTAAGCGGGAATCGAACTGGACCGTCGGGTTCGTAGTGCAGCGCGCTAACCGCTGCACTACCGCTACCCCGCACTGTGTGTGTGCATGTGCGACAGTCACACGCGGCCACGTCTTGTTCAGCGCGTGGTGCAAAAGCGCTACGCGCTGTTTTACGCTCCGACTTGAGTCGTTTATTGATATAAATAAGGGACTTGCTAATTTGGAGAGACATCTGGTTTGTCTGTGACTGTCGTCTCGTCGCTGTATATTTATGTAAACAATTATTATTATTATTTACTGCGTCGTCGGATCGTCGTGAGATGTGGCGACGGCTTGGGAAAGGCTTCGCCCCAGCAGTGAACAGAGCATAGCTGATAATGGTTATAATACATTTACAGACTTTTGTCAAATCCGATTTTATTGACAAATGGCTGTAAACGGCGGCTATTTGGCAATACTTCAAGCTGGTCATATTGGTTTATTAAAGGCACGTGGGATCCTGGACTGATTCAGATATCACTCGCCACTGATGTTAGCTGTGGTCGGGAATTGCAGTCTTGACGCCGTGCGCTAACCACCGCGCCACCGCTCCAACGCTCCACCCCTTCATTTATATATACACACACACGAACATAATATGCATCGGGTATTTGATAATACTGTACATGTGTGCCACTGTGCATGGTTTTAAAAATCTTCATGTGAATGACACACACACAATGTGCCGCAGCAACACACATCTGTTAATTGGTAATAGATCCGTCAAAAATAAATATATATACGAGCCAGCAGCCTATATTCGTACTAATTAATATAGCACACATTTAATTCGGATAGACTTCATCGGGAAAACCTCTCAGCACACACATAAGAGCCACAGTCATGTCAACGTTGAACGGGATAAATTAACTTTTACAACGGTGTATAAGTCATCTATACAAAACAGCTCTGGGTTCAACAGTGCCCCATAGTTTAGACGAAGCGCTCTTTCCAATAATGTCTGGTAACCCATCATCATTTGTTTAACAGGACTAACATACCAATGAGTACCAGCATGTCGAATTTAAATTCGGCCGGATAGGATAATATTTGGTTTGGAAAGCCAATAGGCCCATGGACTATATATGTATATTCCAAAACGATTACACTTATATGTGGAGACAGATCCAAGTTCTGCTTACGGATGTAATACTTTTACCCAGAATGCTCCATAACGACGCAAGATGAGTGCGTGTCGAAGTTGTACACGCTACTTTCATATTCTGTAGGTGCGCCCTATAAATATCTGCTGTGGTGTGTGTTTTATATATACATGCGTATGCACACGTGTGCGTGTGTTAATGATACGTCTGCGAAAACACACGCTGCCTGATGTGAACAATACCACGATCCCCCATTTTTTTTCCATTTTTGAACACAAACGCCCAATTGTAATTTTTTTTAATATATATTATTAGAAGCGCCGCGTGTTTACGCAGAACACGAACAAATTTAGTTCCGAGATCACGGTTGTAGCAGGTGTGCAAATTATTCAGGTGAATGGAATCACATCAAACACAAATTATGCAGCCTTTGTGCAATTATGGTGTACGCATAATCATCACCTCAAGATAAAATAATTGCAAAAGCGTATCAAAAATAATGAGATTCCGGATCATGTGGTTTGTCAGCAATGATTTAATTTGGAGAAAATATCCAGGTGGCTTAAATGGAAATAACCACTTCTCGACCCGGCATTCGCGCCACGTGCTATCGGCGTTGCCGTTCAGGGTTGCTGGGTTCATGAATGTTCGGGGAACGTAATTTGAATACAAATGTCAAACAAACAATACATACCTCCGTGACGTTTTCTTGCAAGTAAAGGCACTCAATAAGTCAACATGAACTACTACACACACGCGCACGTAGGCTTACATAACATTGACAGTCTATATATACTGTATACAGCCTAAATTTACTGTACATATGACAATTGCACCAGGGTCACGTTGTATTCGATTGGCTACATGAATAAATCTGGTGAATATATTCACGTAGTTTAATTGCTCATTTATTGAACATTTCACATGTATGACTCCTTTCAATATTTCACCGTCACCGGTTGTGTAAGATGCGGCCGTAGAGGTGGACCTCAAGAGGGCAGAGGCGGTGACGTCTTTACGCCTTTGGCGCCGCCTAGCGACAACTCTTCCTGGGGACTGCGAGATGACGGACAGAAAATTACAATTTTGACTTGCGTCGGACGAAGGTTTTCGGGGTTGCACCGTACAGTTTCTCCGATAGATTTTTGGTCTTGTGCCGCGTCTATGTTCGACGTTCCAGTTCATCAAGGAGACACCTAGCATGAGTTCATGAAGTGTCTAAATGCGACTGCATCTAAAGAGGCTGGCCGAGAAGGAACCTGTGCATTGTTGTTAGGCTGTGGGAAAGAAAAAAAAACCACTAAGGGTTTTGGACGGCACCGTGGTGACGCAGTGGTTAGCGGACTACCGCATGGACCCCGGCCACCTGAGTGGGATGGATTTATGAACCGGTTCAAGCCCGCCCCACCGCCCTCCTTTAATCGAGTAATGTGTTGGCCAAACAAACCCCATGAACAACACGGTATGGGAATGACTTTGTCCAGTATTTTATTTACAACGGTTTGTAATTAATATCAACACAAAAACTCGGTCCCTTTCCTCGGATATGTTATAATTCTCCGGCCTGGCGGCTTTCTGTAACACATTGAGCAATATTCAGTCATTTTACCAGAGCACTTAACGCTGGAGTCATAGAAGAGGGTCATGCCCGCGTAAGTACGGATTTCACATTCCCGACCACTGTGTTGTTAGCGAATCGTGGCGATAAATCAATCACCAACAATTGGACAAATCGCAAAAGCGATTAGCTTTGACCGTTTCCTCATAATGTAGATCTAGGACAAAATGTCTTGCAATTCTAGCTCATCTGCGTTAAGCATTTCTCAGCAAATGAGTGAAATTGCATATTCCCATGGTGGGATCGCCCTTTGGCTGCGTCCGTGGGTGAGATGGATTCGGGCGACACGGTGGTTCCGTTCACCGACAGTGTGTTGGGGCTTTCGCGTTCGGTGTGGATGCGGGAACAATTCTTGGATGCTTATTTGACCTCCTTGCGGGATCGAGCTGAACGAGTTGGGGGTGACGCAGTATCCATTAAGGACGGTCGTGTTTTTGTTCACGACGACTTATTTACGCTGCAGGATTCCATGCCGGTTCGGCTACG